ACAATCTTTTAAAGTATTTTTAGGGATGTATGTTTTTACTGATCTTCGCCCCCCCCCCTCGTTTATTTATTTATTTATTAGAGACAGAGAGAGCAACAGAGTTCAACAGCAAGTGAGGGAGAAGCAGGGTCCCCGCTGAGCAGAGAGCCCTATGATGTGGACTCAAGCCCTGGGCTCTGGGATTATGACTTGAGCTGAAGGCAGATACTTAACGACTCAGCCACCCAGGTGCCCCGGATCTTTATTTTTTATTTTTTTTATTAGAGTAAGAGAGAAAAACCGAGCATAGGGGAGGATCGGAGAGAGGGGGAGAAGCAGACTTCCTGCTGAGCAGGGAGCCTGATATGGGACTCAATCCCAGGATCCTGGGATCATGACTTGAGCCGAAGGCAGATGCTTAACCAGCTGGTCCACCGAGGTGCCCAGTTTTTATAGATCTTGGGTGCATACTTAGAAATGGGGTATTGCTAGGTCATAGGTCATATGTATATTTTTGTGGTGGTTTTGTTTTGCTTTTTAATTTAAATTTTGCTAGTTAACATATGGTGCATGTATGTTTGATCTTATGTGAAACTACCAGCCATGTGAGAGAATTCTAATTGCCCATGTCCGTACCACCTCTTAGCAGAGTCCGTCATTTTACCTTTAGCCATTCGAGTGGTTGTAGAGTATATCTCATCCAGAAAACAAATATTATTTACATTGAGTTGAATTCACCCTATTTAGCATACAGATTTTGACTAATGCACACAATCATGAAATGCCACCACAAGGTAGAGAATGATTTTGTCAAAAGCCCCAGATTCTCCCCTATCCCCTGTATCAGCCTCACACCAACCTCAGCCTTGATCTGTTTGTTTTCCCTATAATTTTGACTTTTTTGGTCCTGGCTTACCAGGACTTATTAGCTGTATTTTTTGTCTTAATTTTCAGAGTTATCATTATATGCATATCATTGCATATAACCTTAAAGGTCAAGTCATTTCTATCAAGTTGATAATGATAAACAGCAGTCTCTTCCCACCTCCTCTGGGTTTCTGATTCTACTTTCAACTCTTTCAGCCCTTGGTTGTGGTACATGCTTTTTCATTTCTAAGGAATCATGCTTCTAGGGCACCTGGGTGACTCAGTTGGTTAAGCAACTGCCTTCGGCTCAGGTCTGATCCTGGAGTCCCAGGATCAAGTCCCACATCGGGCCCTCTGCTCAGCAGGGAGTTGGCTTCTCCCTCCGCCCCTCGCCCCTCTCATGCTCTCTCTCTCAAATAAATAAAATCTTAAAAAAAAAATCGTGCTTCTATTACTTGATATTTCCATTTTCATTTATTAACTGCTTCTTAGGGAAGGTAAGGATTTAGCTCTCTTATAATTCCGACCAGCCACACATACACCTGGCTGTATCTGGTAGAGACCTCCCACTATAAATACATTATTATTTTTTATAAGTTATTATTTAGATTACTGAGTCTATGTAGTAGAAACAGCAGATGCTGTGGAACGTACCTTCATTCTATTTTCTGTCTTGAATAATGTTTTTCTAGAGCTGTTAATTCTTCTTTTCTTCATTCTCTGTGGATTTACTTCTCTTTCATGTCCAGACTTTCTGACAGAAATGTTTACCTCCTTCTCATATGTTCAGACAAAGGAGGTAATTTCACAGTTCCACTTGCTTTCTTGGATTTCTTCTTCATGGAGTCCTCTGCCCTCCTATTCCATCTGGGACTGGTCACTCTCCAGACACTTACATAGCTGCTTTTCTGAGCTCTCCATCATCATCTGTCTCCGGGTCAAAAACAATAAAAACCAGTAGGTATCAGCAGAGCCAAGGATAATTTGCACGTGTGTATAAGTATGGGTTAACACATGATTCATTTTGACCAGTCTGCCTGTTTTAGGAGTCATGTGTGCACATGGGGACCTTCAAATCCAGTCCAGCATCTTTCCCTTTCTTAAAACGCTGTCCTGTGACAGTAAGAAACCTGGCTTCCAGGATTAATATATTTACTTATTTCATCAGGTCCTCAGCATGTAACCCGTCTCTGTCTTCATGACCACACCTCCTCCCACATGGACACCCTCCTCAGCCTGTTCTCTCTGATAGCTCAGGTCATCCCACCGTCCCCCACCCCTAGGTCGTGGTTGTGGGTGCCCTTCTCTTCACCCTTTTCCTGTGGAGCCCCCATCTCTCATGGATGCCCACCTTAGTTCTGCCTGGCTCTGACACACCATGCCAGTCTGGCCCCCTGTGTGGATGCCCTCCCCACCACCTTTGCAAATGCCTTAGTTGCTGTGTCCCACCTATTGTTGCTCAGTTGTTCAGGAAGGGAAGGAGATGAGCCAAGACACAGCTCTCGATTCTGTCTTCCATCCCCCAGTGCTTTGCTTTTTTCAGTCTTCCTATCCCGGTGAGTTAATTCTGGCCATCCATTTGCTTAAACCCGAGATCTGAATGCCCTTGAATATTTGCATTTGGGGTGGGGGTGTGGGGGCTGGGTCCCAGGGCCCCGAGATCTTGACCTGAGCTGAAAACAGATGCTTAACCAACAGATTGGGCCACCCAGGCGCCCCAGTGATTGGATATTTGTGTTTATTGCAGAATGTTCATCACAATAAGTCTAGTTAATATACATTAGCTTTAATAGTTACAAAATTCTTTTTCCTTGTAGTGAGCAGTTTTAAGAATTACTCTCTTAGCAACTTTCAAATATATGCAACAGTATTATTATCTGTGGTTGCCATGATGTACATGACATCCCCGTGACGTCATTATTTTATAACTAGAAGTTTGTACCTTTTGACTCCCTTTCACCCATTTTGCCCTCCCCTCCACCCCCTGCCTCTGGCAACCACCAGTCTGTTCTGTGAATCTGTGGTCTTACAAACTCACTCGTTGAGATTGACGTTTCACCTAAATCTAGGCAAGACTGGCCCTCTGCACTCACCATCCCCACTGTTCTCTTTACTTCAGTAATGTACTAATTTTAAAAAGCAGCCGAGATTCCCCCCAGCTCACACTACTTACTGATTGTGGTTGCTTGTTTGATAGAGTCTTCGCGGTCTCTTTGCATCATGATGCATTTGGAAGCCTTAAAAGCATACCATATTTAACTATAATGATCCTGTTTTAAATATTGGGATCAATTGGAACACGGTGTTCTTGCTCGAATCCCTTGCAGTTATTAGCAGTTGAATTTATGGGGTCCCGAGAGTATATGACTGAAACTCCAGAGATAGACACTCTTCCGCTAGTACCTAATGCCAAGCAAGATGAACGTTTTAGAGACTCAGTGTGGTAATTTTATGCCTTTAGATATGGGTTTTTACACAAACCACAATTCTAGAGGAGACTTAGGAGGTAAAGAAAAAAAATTTTTTTTTTAAAAAATGACAGGTTTTGGAAGCATAATTCTGTGATGAATGGCTACGCAAAAATACTGTTTATGCAAGTACAGAGACATTTTTCTCTGACAGTGGAGCAAAGTCCAAACTGTTACATCTTGGTTTTGTAGGACACAGGGAGATGGAAACTGCTTGGAAAAGACCATTGTTTCTCAGCTTGCCTGCCCCTCCTCCACCCCAGGAGGAGCCTGAAGCCAGTCATTCATGCAAAGGCACTTCCCACGGGCAGCTGAACTTGCCAGCCACGTCTTGCTTGGTGTTCTTCTTACACCTGACTCTCTCCTGCACTTTGGCATCCGAAATTGGGAGCAATGTTTCCTGTTCAAATACCTTTTTCTTAACTGTGGACCTTGATAAAAACCTGCAGTGATTTTACAGCATAGTATCCTATTCTTCCCTGATATTTAAAAAAAGAAAAAGGAAATAGCAAAATTCTTTAAATTTTGAATACTGACAGTTTAAAATTTGTGAAAGTATTCTTAAATTTCTGTTCAAGGTAAATTCAACTTTCTTCTTCTTGTAACATATCCAGAATAGGTTATGTGTCTTTTTTCTGGATGATTTCATGTAGAACAAATTACAAGACGGTTCTAGAACCCTATTGGCAGATGCCTTAAGTTTCTAGTAGGTGATCAATAAATGCTTAATATAAGTTATCTGTTTATAGATTGATTAAATTGTATACTCCCTTTACCAGATAGAGGGTGGAAAAGCATCCATAGGTGTATGTGTATTTATTGAAATTTTTATAAAGAAATTGAAGGCTTTTTTTTTTTTTTTTTAAAGATTTTATTCATTTATTCATGAGAGACAGAGAGAGAGGCAGAGGTAGAAGCAGGCCCCCTGCTTGAACAGGGAGCCTGATGTGGGACTCAATCCCAGGACCCCGGGACCATGACCTGGGCCAAAGGCAGTTGCTCAACTGACTGAGCCATCCAGGCGCCTGTGGAAGTTGAAGGATTTTTTAAAGCCTCATCAAGCCAACAAATTTTTTTTTTCATTCATTTCATTCACATCAGGGATGTGAATAGCATTGACAAGAATTGTTTTAAATATTCTTTTATTATTTGTTTATTTCAACTCTTTTAGGTACAAATATTTATGTATGTAAGATTTGCCATTCCAGTTTAAAATTCTTCCAGAAGAGTGGTTCCTTACCTGAGAATTTAGATAAGAGAGAGACTATAAATTATTTTAAAGTATTTATTTTCATAGTATAGGGTGATTTGTAGAATGTATATATATGGATGAAAGACCTTCTTCATTCATGCAAAAACGTTTACTGAATATCTAAGGTATTAAAATATTAAGAGATTGAGCTGCCTTCTGTCTAGTTTGTTTGTTTGTTCTGTCCTTTCTCCAAAGGAGCAGAGATGAAACGTGGTTCTATGTGAATTTTAAATTACCTATGAGGAGAATTAAGCTCCAAAATAGATCTAGATTTCAATTGTGTACTCAGCCAAAATATACGTATTCTAATTAGTCTGCTAATTGCCTCTTGGATTCCATCCCAGCATTCCAGTAGAGTAAGAGGATGCATTTTGCTCCTATCTTTATATTATCTCAGATAACATAAAAGATTGTGTTTTCTTATTCCCCGGCAGGTTGGTACAGAGGATATACCCTCCAGAATAAATCTAAAAAGGTATGGTTTCTCATTTACTTTGCCTGCTAGCTTTGTGTTATGCTACCTGGGCTCATTTTCTGCTCCTTGCTGCCTCTAGACCTGGTTTGTGTTCTGTGGGATGGCTGTTGTTTAGATCTGAAAACAAATTCTCTGACCTCAATGTGTGTAAAATCGCACAAGTCCCGTGGACCACATTTCCCACCAGCCAACTTAAGCGGGGAGGTCAGAGTTGAATGCACTCCCCAGGTGGGGCCCTCGCAGCACTTGCAGGCTTGCTGCTCCCTGCCCCTGGAGCTCAGCAGGCTGGTGATGCGATGAGAGTGTTATTGTTGGCGGTCTCCTTCAGGGGAACCCATGCTGCTGCTTGGTTCTCTAGCTCCCCAGTGCCAACATCCCAGAACTAAAGCATCTCCCCATTTCTACTTGAGTCCATCCTTTGTTATAAAATGATAAGCCAGAGTAGTGGTTTTGAAACTGAACCTCACAGCCAATCCCAGTAATACATCATGAAATCAACATCAGGGGTTATTCCATCTTCCAAAAACTGAAACTTCCAAAACTGAAACTCCGAAAAGTAGAAAAGAAAGTAGAAAATGGAATGCCGTGAAAAATACTGTCTCATGAAACTTTTGTGTGAGACAAAAAACTTTTGTATTTTTTAATGTATTTTAAGTTATATTTTATGCATAGTTGAGGACTCGGTTGCCATGAAAATGTATCTTGTCATGGGCAGAGAGTTTGAAAAATAACTGACCCTAGCAGGTTCCTCTACCCCGTGCCAAAACTACTCATCATCAAGCTAAAGAAAATCTGTTAGTTGCGTTAATACCCCCTCAGTTAATTTTAGGTCAGGTCAGGCCTTTTCCTTTGACGCTGCATTCTGGGGCAGCAAGGCCTGTCAGCACTTTGTTTGAAAGAGAAACGGGGTTGATGGGACCATCACTTTTCACACTTAGTTCACATGCAAAATAGCTAATTAGGAGAGGGGTAAGAGAAACATTTTAGAATTTATCAAGAAGTGAGTGAAAAACACACACAACAAAACCCACAGTTCTTATTTTTCAAGCATGGCATGAGATACAAGTAATCTGAGCACACAACTCTTGAAAGAGCTCAGGGCCCAGAGAAACCCCTTTCTACAAGGTTGTAGTCATTAGAAATCAGCGTTGTTTGGATCAAATTTTCTATATATTTGGATCTGGAGTCACTATTTTGCACATTTACATGTCCACACATGCAGTTTGTTAACGTTTACAGTTTGAAAATCTACCAAAATAAAGGAGTGTTTGCTTGTCAAGTGAGTATCAACTCCCACAGTTTGGTCTTTTATCCCTCCCCAAATCCTGATGCTGAATTTTTCTGCCCACAGTTTGATTCCTACATTTTCCCACCTGTTTTCATTTCCAACCTAACTACTTTGATTTAATCTCTTGCTGACTTCAATTTCTCCAGGCCTTCAAATAGTGACCAAGGACAAGGACATCCTGGCATGAATAAGAGCGTAGTGAGACAAAAGCCTTTCTTTATTTTAGGATCCTTGTCCGTGGTTTATAGATACTCCTACTTCTTAGTTTGGTTAGCCCTATCTTTGTTTATTTTACTCATAATTATAGAAATGATAAGTTATTTCGAAGCATGATTGGAGCTAACCATTTAGAAGTTCTGAATTTATTAAAGAGCAAGAAGACTTATTCCATTTCCCAGTCTGCTAAAAAAAAAAAAAAAAAAAAAAAAGTCAACTTAAAAAAAATGAACAAAACCCCATTCTCAGGTAAGATCACATGAACTTAAAGAACAAACACAATTCTTGATTTTTAACTGGTGATTGTGAATCATGTTGAAACAAGGTCCCTGGCCACACTTTTCCCTTTCAGAGATCTACAGTATGTAAGGATTCTTTTTGCACATAGACCTCGGTTTCTAAGGCATCCTGTGATGTCCTAATAGATCAGAATCTATCCAGCTCATACCCTTGTTGTTGGCTTTGAAAAGGAAATCGCATGCTCCCCCAGTGTGTTTTTAGTTTTGTTTGTTTGTTTTCATTTCCTTAAAACCCTTACTTAAACTTGAAATCTCACCCTTAAGAATTATTTCAGGAAGAACTTTTAGTTCTTGATAATTCAACTTTGTAATTCAATGAAATGATAGTACTAACAAGGATGTTGCTTTTACTTGTTGATTTTTAAGTTGAAATGTCTTCCTGGTGGAGAGTAGCAGGAAGCATCAAGGGAATTTAGATTCAGTCATCATGAATTATGTTCAGCTTTGACACCCTTTCATTAAAAGATCCAGCCTGTTTGAAATCCTCTCCTAATGCTGTTTTTTCCTGCGTTTGCCGGTCTTTGTGGGGGAGCTATTTGAAAGGCCTATTATTTTAATGGAAATTTTTGGTGTCATTTATCAGCAGACCTAGTCATTTAGAGTGGTGATAAAATGCGCTAGTGGTTTTACGAATTGAAGAAGCCCAGAGCTTTGCAGAAACTAATTATTGATTCTGGCAGGATTGTGGAAGTGTGGATAACGGCAATATCTAGAAAGTGGTTAGATATTTTTTTTTCCTCAAGTGAGTAGGTTGCATTGAGAAAGGAGAATCAAAATTGAGATAAGCTATAAATTAGTAATCTATCCCCCAGGTTTTTCCTGCCTTTCTGTGTGTCAGATGGAAAGAAGGAAGGAAAACTTCTCCAAGGCTCAGATTTACTAGAGCAGTTAAATGGATGTAAGTGGACATATGTTGTCATGGAAGGATGGGGCCTGCAAATAAAAGGGAGGTAATGGAACAAAATAAATATTTTCTTAAGATGAAAGTCCTCGGTCTGTACATTCAGTATAAATTATCTGCTTGGGTGTTACAAATGCTTGTATCTTAGATTTCTCCCAATTATTAAGAGACTAGTAATCAGATTACAAATGCACAAAAATTTTAATTCGTCCTTTACCTTCTTGATGAGAAAAGTTTTCTGCAAGGATATTCCCTGGGATAAGCAGTGTTACCCCTTATTTTAATCTCCAAGTGTGGCTTCTTAGAGCTACTGCTTTAAGTGGCTCATCATTTACAAAGTGTCCACTCCCCATTCCTTCCCAACCCCATCCCTGGCCACGCCCATTCTACTTTCTGTCTCTGTGGATTTAACCACTCTAGATCCCTCCTACAAGTGGAATCATTAACAGTATTTGTCCTTTTGTGTCTGGATTACTTCACTTAGCATCATATCCTCAAGGTGAGTTCTGGACGATCAAGTCTGATTCTCCACCAAGATGGCAGTCAACAAGACATTTACCTCCAGATGGACAGAAGAAACACCCAAAGTTCCTTAGACACCCTAAGCACAGATCTGGAGCTTCAGAACATCAGAAATTAGGCCCCACAGGAATTACACCTACATTTGAATTTTTGTTTAACTGTTTGATCAGTTTTCCAAAATCACTTTGAATCCTGCCCCTGTAATGAAAAAGGTCAGTGTCATCTTGCCTCTCTGTGTATTCTGGGTCTTATCAGTAACAGATCAGCATAGTACTTTCTTACTTACACACCACATGCATACCCCTTTCTCAAAGTGAAGAGGGGAAGGTAATGTACTTTTTTTGGGGGGGGGGGTTTCCTTCCTGGCTGGAAAGGACAGTCATTTTGCTTTCGACTCAGGCAGTGACAAGATCTTACCTGTCATCACCAAGACTGGGAACAGCTCAGTCTCAGGTTTTCTTTCTGTTTCCTGTTTTATTGGTAAAGGGCTAAGATGGAGAAAGAAGAGTATTAGATAAATAGAGCACATGAAGCTGGACACAAGACTGACGCCAGTAGAAGTGAACTAGTTTTCCGTCTCTGGACGGATTAAGGATCACTGCGTACACACACATCTTTGACTCAGCCCCCATGTAGGAAGGTCTTCCTTTCCCACCTTTGTGGTCAGTCCCCCAACAGAGAATGCGCACAGGGTCTCACTGACCTCCGCAGGTGCAGGTTTAGGAGTAGTCAAACCAGTGGTACCCGGTAAATAGGCTCTTCTCCTCCCTCTGCTTGTCTGGCGTGCAGAGTACCCTAGAACAAAGAACAGCAGTGCCTTTTCCCCATGGCGTTGCCTCCGTTTATCCATGAGCGTGTCACACAGGTAAACAACAGAAGCCGTTGGCATCAGGAAAACTCAGATCCATGCCTTGCTTTCTGTGATCTGATCCTCACTTCTTCAGTTTCTACTGACCAGTTTCCAGGCTTTCTCTTAGGCCCTTATGGGCCTTAGTTTCCCCATGAGCAACATCACAACAGTGATGTAGAATGGCCTCTTAAGAACATAGACTGGGGAGCAATTTGAGACTGGGAAGTGCTAAAAATAACCAGATAACTAGTACTAATTGATTTGGGGCACATTTGGCTTAAGTGAAAGCTGTGAGAAGGGATTGTTTCGGAAAATCACTATAATTTCATGGGCCACTAAGTACACAGCCCTTCAGGTCACTAATTATGAGAAACCCTTTCAGGGCAGCAGTTCATGGTATTAGGATCTGGAAGGTTCTAGTTGCTGGCTGTCGAACCCCTTACCGTTACTGCAGCCCTGAGTTGGTCAGGACATGTTTGCCCCCTTCCGAAGCACTTCTGTGAACCCCGATCTTCATTTCTATCTTTCCAGCCATGCTTTCAGGGAGGCGCAGTCAGTGTGGTCGGGCCCTAGAGACTGACCACACACTCTGGTGACGGCCCAAGTATCCTGTCTCCTCACTCGTTCCCGGTGCCATGTGTGCTCCTTACCCTGAGGTTTTTATGGCCGTATAACCAACGTTCTTCTCTCTGTAGGGGATCTTCCCTGAAACGTACATCCATTTGAAGGAGGCAACCGTGGAAGACCGAGGGTAAGTTCCCGTCCTGGGAAGACCCCTAAAAGAGGTGGACGTGTGAAATGATCATTAAAGAGTTTCTCGTGTGCGTTACTGCTCTCATCTCGTCAGTTGCCCTTCTCACAAGGAGAGAGACGTGAATATGAGCTTTATTCCTGAGCTGATTCCTTCTTTCATAATCGCTCCTCTCTGGCATCCTTCCCCAGGATAGTAAAGACAGGCAGTGAAGGAACGGAGGCCCCCTGCCTTCCTCCTGCGCTGTGCTCACTGAGTGTGTGTGCGCACACACACAAACATTGGGCACCCTTTCGCTGCTAGGATTTCCAAGGGTCCCCAGTTTGGCAGCCGTGGGAGAGAGAGGAGCAAGCTGTCTCCGGCAGTGATCAGCTCTGGAGCTTAGACAAGTCCGTTAGCTTTATTGCCCCTTGGGCTTTGCCCATACAAATTGGAGGACATAAATCTGGCCGTGCGCTGGTCGAGAGCTTAATGTGGAATGATGAAATTATGTGTGTGAATGTGCTCTGCAGATGAAATCCATTATGTTTTGGATATTCTATTTTCTTACCCACCTTACCGGTTGTCCTGGACAGTGACTGCCTCTGTGGAGACTGAGGAGGAGTAAGACACTCAGCCTGAGGTGGGAGAGAGAGGCTGCTGGGTTGGGACAGAGGAGGGAAGGAGAGCCCGGAGCAGGACTGGAATGCCAGGGTTGCTAGAGAGGAGAATGGATCAGAGTCACACAGACTCAAAGCGGCAAAAGAACATTTTCAGCTGTAAGTTCTACACCTGAATTTTATAGATGAGGGGTGGAGACAGGCCCAGATTCATCCAGCTCTTCAGTGGCAGAACCAAGACTGGAAACCAGGTGTCCTGGCCACCTGGAGAAGCTTCTTTCCAGCGGGCCATTTCCCGGGCAGCCTCCGCCGTCACTAGCCGCAGCCATGTTGGAAGAAGGGCATGTAGGAAGGCGTATGCCCACTAACTAGGGTTGTCAGAGAAGAAGGCAAGGTGCTCAGCTACATTCGAAATCCAGATAACAAGTAATTGTTTATGGTTAGTATGTCCCAGGTATTTCATGAGTCATACTTCTACGGAGAAGTTATTTCAGAACAAACAAACAAAAGAAGTTATTTCAGGCCATCTGAAATGCAGACTTAACTGGGCATCTGGTAGTCTTATTTAAGTCTGGCAGTCCTACCTCTCTTTCCCATTTGTTTGCTTGCCCTCACTCTCCTTTTGTTCATCATGAAAATACCAGACGACTGATGGGAATAAATGTTGGCCCTGCCTTGTTCTGAGTCTCCTGTGAGCCCGTGAGGAGTATGGTAGAGACACGTTTTCAGTGCAGTGAGGGAGCAGGTGAGAAGAAAATCAAGCCCCATTCCATCAGAGAGCAGAGCTTTGTCCCCACCAGCAGGTCCTGTGTGAGATGCCCAGCCTCAGGACCCTTGTGCCTTGCACACTTTTCCACCCACCCTCCCTAACGAAATGGCCACTTGGCAGAACCAGTGAAAATACTGGGTTTGGGCCTCCATTCCGGGAGTCACGGAAGCCAGCCAGGCTCAGCAATTGCTCCTGTCGAGATACCAACTGGGGTGGTCCCAGCTGTGCTGATGCCTTTGTTCCCTCGCAGAAGTGGTTTATTTTGAGAGCTGGATCAGTAAGCCCCTTCTTTTCTCAGAGGCTTAGGTGTAATAAGGTCCGCTCAACAAATTTTCCCACAACAGATTCGTTGTCTTTCCAGCTGGACTACCCCATGCCCGTCTTTGCCCTGTGGGGAATATGAACCCTGTCAAGAAAAGCAGGGATGGTCAGCCCAGAGTTACACGAGCATCTCTCTGGTTCTCCGTAGGCAGCACGAGACCGTGATTCCTGGGGAGCTCCCGCTGGTCCAGGAGCTCACGTCGACGCTGCGAGAATGGGCCGTCATCTGGCGCAAGCTCTATGTGGTGAGCTTTCCCTCGGGTCTTGGAGCTATCTGTTCCACTGCTGGGTCTCAGCAACACATGAGCTCTCTGCATGGAACAGGGTGCATGTTAGCTGGACCGTACATGGCTGATAACCAGCAGATTCTCATTGTCCTGGAGTAGAGTCACTGATGACATGGGATGGCAGAAGAAAGAGCGGGACAGGCTCTTAGCCTCAACATGTATCCTGGGGAATAGGAATTTGTCAGTGTTTCGCTGCTCAGCCACATGACTCCCAGGAGGACGGCATTCTTTACTTTAGCCAGGCTTTCTTACAGACTCTGCAACTTGAGTGGTATTAAGCCGTGGTCTGAGGAGTCTTTCTTTTCAAGGCTGACTCAGGGTATCGTCTCTTACAGTAACATAGTCTTACAGACCTCAGAATGCAAATAAGATACACCAGCTCAGTGGGAAGTGACACAGGAAGGAGCACATTCTCTCCATGATAAACCGTAATCACAAGTCCCGTGTAGGTTTGCAATTAGGAAAAGGTAGATCTGGCTTTTCATGTTATCAGAGTGAAAATACGTGGGCAGCTGTCTTGCAAAAGGCCAAGAATGCTCCAAGTCCCCTGGAAGCAGCTCTTTCCTTGACAGTGGGATGCACAGACACCTTTTTCTAAAGTTCCCTCTTTCCTGGGGACCTAGAAGTCACTAGGTCCTGCCTCTGTAAGCATCTTCCCGGGCCGACCAGGGATTCCCAGGAGGAAGGTATATTTTCTCGTTCAGTGCGTGAATAAGTGCAGCAAGGGAATAGACTAGACCCGATGGCCTGGAAGCCACTTTCTTTCCTTTATGTGACTTTGTTTATCTAGGTTTTTGTTCAGTCATGTGTTAATTATTCATTTGGACTCTCGAAAACCAATCTCAATAACTTGTGAAGAACACCTTCCTCTAGACCTTTAGTACCAAAAACAGTCATCAGAAGCTCAGTCTAGCATGACTTCTAAGAGTTAATGTATGATTTCATTTCCATCCTGGGCTGTTGTTACCCATGATGGATCACAGCAGCAGAAATCACCAGCCCCTTTGGTGGGAAAGCACAGGATTTTTCTCTGCCTGCCCATCTTTCAAGGCCTATTTCAAGTTCTTCCTTGTAATGTAGCTTCTAAAACAGCAATCCATGATGTTTCCTTCTGGACCTTAGGAGCATTTACTGCTGGGCCCATCATCTGGCCCTTGGGGCATCCTGCCTCGTAATGCAAGTGATCTTTTGATCTCTCTGTGTGTAATTGAGGAGAGAGCTACCTGTAAGTTCTTAAATCTCCGGGACAGACGTGCTGTTTTAAGCCCTTTGGCCTGCATCGATCATCTGGTACCTCTGTTGAGAGCACTCTCTGGTTAATTGATTGGTTGGCGGATGCAACAAGTCTGATAGATGAGGAATGCGCATACACAGGAGCTTCCTTAATGCATTCTCTCTGGAAATTGATGAGTAGCGATACATACTTGATAGTAAGGACTGGGCAATGAGATTTTTAAAGTGGTAATGTTGGGGCATTGTGTGGCTCAGTCCAATAAGCATCTGCCTTTAGCTCAGGTCGTGATCTCAGGGTCCTGCATTGAGTCCTGCTCCTTGCTCAGCTGGGAGCCTACATCTCCCTCTCCCTCTGCGCCCCCACCCCCCGCTAGTGTACACCTTTTTTCTCTCTCGCACTCCCAAATAGGTGAAATCTTAAAAAAAAATTGTCCACTTAAAATGGGGTCATTATTAATCATGACTTTGTTGGGTTCCTGTTCCTAACATACTGACAGTTCACTTCAGGCAGAATTTCTGAACTTTCTCAAAAATTGACATCAAAGTAGCAAACCTCAGAATATTATCCTTCACTGGGTAAAAGGTAAAAGGACCCCAAGTCTGTGGTTTTCACCCCCGCCCCAACGATTTCATTAGTGTTTTTGTTTTCTAAGTCTGTAAGTTCGTTCAGTTCACATAAAGATAAATACTGATTTTACTGAACCACATCAGTACTTGTGTTTCTCGCATGCCTTTCCTCCCTCAGATTATGAGACCAGGTGTTCTGTTTTATTTATTTGTTTATATATTTATTTATTGAGAGGGTGAGAGAGAGAGAGCACACACATACACAATAGCGTGGGGGAGGGCAGGAGGTGCGTGGTAGGGGCAGAGGGAGAGACGGAGATCAAGTCTCAAGCGGGGCTCAATCTCACGACCTTGAGAGCATGACCTGAGCTGAAATCAAGAGTCAGATGTTTAACCGACTGAGCCACCCAGGCACCCCCTGTTTGATATTTCAGGACACGTGTAGAATCTTAGAACCTCCACAGTTCTCTCCAACACATTTCCTAGTTCTCTCCTTTTCAGTCTGTGCTCATGAGAAATGTCTATAACAGATCCAGAGCCTTATGTGAGAGGAAAATGCCATCCACTAACCAGGATAAACCCAGCTGTGTAGACACAGGTAATTATTCCAGACAGGAAAGACATTTGGATGGCTGTGACTTAATTTTAGCAGCTGCACTGTAACCTTGTGAAATAACCATAAATATGTTTTAAAGGGGGGAGGAGTTCTTCATGCTAAAGAGAGGAGAACCCACTCCTCCAAAGCAGAAAAAGAAATGCTGACCACCGCCATGTGCCTTCTTTTCCTCTTTGTTATATTTGTATTATTTTGTCCCATTTAATTGTCTTTCCTGGCGGTGTTGGCTTTATGCCAGACTGTGGGAGACAAACCCTGGACTACAAATTCGGAAGCTTGGCGTCTCATCCAGGCCCTGTCCAGCAAGCCCCATGGTCTTGGGCAAGTCACTTGATGTTTCCAGGTATTGTCTGGATTCTGCCCCCCATGTGAAAGCGATGGAAAATCCGCCCTGTTGACTCCATGGAGTTGTGCGAGCATGAAGAGAGGTGCTGGCTGTGAGGTCATTGCACAGACGGAGCATCCAGGACTCTGCACATGGCATTCTTGCTGCCGTCTTAGCTTGAAACAGCAGCCGCTCTGGATGTCCTCCCTCTGGGCAGCCTTGACTTGGCATCCCTCTGACCTGGCTTGGAGACTCTGAAGCTCCCTTGTGTGTGCTCCCTGCCCTCCCCAGCAATCCAAGGCCACTTCCCTTGTCTTTTGTTATCATCTTAGGCGGAGGGGCCTTGAGCGCTCAGTAAGCAGGCTAAGTGTTTCTCAGGACAGATAGCGAGCCTCCTTCATTTAGGCTCAAGTTCGGGAGGCATGGATCATTCCAGCAAAGAAAAGGGGAAACCTGCCAATGCAGAGTGCAAGTTCACAGCAGTTTCTGGCTTCATCTATACTGCTCGTCCTCATTTGGAGCCTGTTTAGTGAGTGTGTTTTCAGGGGTGGTCCGGAAAGGGGGAAACAATATGAATGAAATGTGGTCGCCTCTTGAAATGACAAGACTGTGGACACTGAGGTTAGATAGGCAGCTCGTTCTTAAAAGTCTGACTTGCTCCTCTGCTTGGAACGTACTCATATATTCAGAAGAATATAGCATACCCAGCAATAGTTACTGCAGACAAACACACTAAAACAGGAAGAACTCAGATCCCGAAGGCAGGGATTTGGGTCCAGGGTAGGCCACTAGCTGATTCTGCCGCCTGAGACGAGTCCTTTGACCCCTACATTGCACTTCCCTCACCTGGAACAGTAATGATATATACGCCCTGCATACTTGCTGTAAGGATTCAGTCAGATAATCTGGATAAAACTTCCAGGACAGTGCCTGGTGCTTTGTCATCAAACTGTGACAGCCCCTGGCTGTCCCCAGCACTGCCTTCGTGTAAGAGTTCACTGATGATGGGAGGTGTTAGAAGAGCAAGACTGCATGGTGGAGTTCTACCCTGAAGTCAGTTGAGGGTGCACCCTTCAGCTTGGGGCTGACGGGCGGGCTTGCTTCCAGCCTGGTGTGAATGTAACCGCTGTAGGTCAGTGGTTGTAAGCGCTCTGCCCGTTATTCTCTGCTGCCTCTCGGGATCATTCGTTGTCCCCAGCCTGGGAAAGTAGATCCAGTGAGCTGAACTCTGGCCTTCTTTCCCTTCTAGCAGCACATCTCCTTTGTTCCATGCGAGTTCTGCCAGCCAGAAGGGCAAATGAGTCTGCATTGATTTAGACATGATTGGACTAGTGTAATACCCAGACTTCCTTCTCACTAACAACCCAACTATACTTTTTGAATATGCACGAGTCTACATCCCACATTATGTTTTCTCAACAATAATCAGGACTTGAAAACTGACAAGTTAGAGTGTATTTGTGGGGACAGAAGGAGGAACATTTCTGAGAGAGGGACTGTCCTGGGAATTCTGAGATAAGTGGTGATGTTAAACATACTCTATAATTTCTCACCCCAAGATTTAACTCAGTGCTGTTCCCCCGCCTTCCAATTGGAGAAATGGTTCAATGAGTTTTGGCCAGCGAGACAGTATTGTTCATATAATTTTGGGAGACTGAATCTAATCCTTTTTCCTTACAGAAAAGAGATATGAGTCAAGCCTGGTGTGGAAGGTGGTTTATATGTATTGTTGAATCAAGTGAACATAATTGCTAAAATGTAGTTCATAGAATGGACTGATCTCCTCTCATTTATTTATTTTTTGAAAAAGATGTATTTATTAGAGAGCACATACCCGTGAGTAGGGAGGGGCAGAGGGAGAGACAGAATCCCAAGCAGACTCCCCGCTTTCCAGGGAGCCCCTTGCAGGGCTCAGTCCCACGACCCTGAGATCATGACCTGAGCTGAAGCCAAGGGACGTTCAAATGACTGAGCCACTCAGGCGCCCCTGATCTCCTCTCATTTAAAATTCACCAGTACAATAAAACCTTGAGCTAGTCTGTAGTTGTGTAAAAATCTGGAGGGGAGAAAGTGCCCATAACTGAGGGTGGGGGTGGGGAACTTGCCAGACACAATGAATTGCCCTTCTTCCCATCATTGCATATCTACACCGATTAAAGCTACTCGAGTCTAATCTTTCTGAAGGGGTGGTTATTATGGGCTGCTGGAGCATATGCTCTGAAGTGTAATTAAGCCGGTCTCATGGTTGGAAACCAGCATCTGATTGCTTATTACCAGAGACAGAAAATTCCCATAGAAAATTCGGTCTTGTCCGGGCATTCCGTCTGTGAGTGGTGAACCCTGCTTGGGCCTGACTCTCTTGTGAGAGACAAGATGAGAGGTGGCCGTGACCCAGGACAGGGCAGTGGGTGTGCTCTGGGTCCTTTTCCAGTTTTGTTCTGCCCCCCTCATGCTTGCTTGCCTCTCAGGATTCCTTGTGCTACCTCCTGAGGCAAAATGGTCTTAGTAGAATCTTTGCTTCAAAAATGAAGCCTTTGCTAGTTAGGCAAAGAATTTTTGTGGCAAAGAAAAGAGGCACTAGGGTAGAGAGGAGGAGTGTCAGGCCATGTGGATTCCCTTTTTCCCAGAGTGCAGTGTGGCCTGAGGTCACACACGGGAAGCGGGACACTGCTCCGGACCCCAGGAGTTAGAGATGGGAGTCACTGCAGAGAGCTCTGCCAGGTGAAATTGGATGGGAGCCTCCAAGCGGATAAGTGCATCCAAGGGAGATGGTTAGAGTCAGAGCCAGTTAATCAGGAAGTTGCTCGAAGGAGTAATTAAGTTTAAGGTCTCCACCATAGACTCACAGATGCTCAGCCTGGGGAATGGGTCTCAGACTCAGTCCCTTTGTTTTACCACTGGGTGTATCTCAGGAGGAGTGAATTGCCTAAAGTCGTTCAGCCAGTTAATGATAAAGAGAGAGAGACGAAGTCCCATACTTGCTGTCAAGCCCTTTGCCTCTACATCAAACTCTGCAGGCAAGAGGAAGGGTTGGCAGACAGAGGAGATGGGGAGGACCAGAGGAAAGTCTTTTGACTGTCTTCTGCATTCTTTGGGAAAGTGAGGGATAGAATCCAGGTTTTCTGACACGAGGGAGGTGGTGCCGTTGTCCCAGTGGTCTCTAGAATTTCTGAAATATGCAGTGGAGGCCCCTTTATCCCTCTTTGCCATTGCTGAAAGTAAAGCTGCCTTTTTTTTTCTTCCTTGTGAGTTTGTTATTATCTTTAGAAATCCTTAGAGAAAGAGCATGCCATTCAGAATAGAAATGTAAAAAGTGAGACCTTTGAGATCTCCAAGTGGAAAAGAGGGAGAAATTCTAAGCAAGTGCAGAAATGCCGTTACTCTCTGGTGGGAGAACATTTAGATTTCTCTCGTACATGCTGCTGTAACTGAAACTGAAACCAGAGTGTGTTTTACATTGGTACTGTCAAAATTTGTTTTCGAGTCCCTGGATTGTGCTGACTTTTGCAGAGACAGTCAAAGAGATTATTAAATAAATTCCCTTCCCTCTTAATTATGTGACAGTGGCTGCTAGTACAAAAAAGGTTGGGATGATGGTAACAGAGAAGGTTCTCTGCAACAGGCAGGCGCAGGCAGTGTAGGATTCAGGAAGGAAGACAGGAAGGGGGGCGTGATGGGAGAACAGATGGAGACACTCAGGTCTTTGGCTCAGGGTCTTGTGAGGAGTGCCCGGTTTTCTCCTCACCTGTCCTCATGTGCTTCCCCGGAAACCCATAAAGTATCTGGATCCAGCTTTGCACGGAACATCCTACTTAGAACAGTTTTGGAAATGTGGCGATGAAATCCATTTCCTTCAAGTAGTGGGGAAATTGCTTCCTTTGGTGTGTTCCAGCTTGTCCATTCAGAATTCATTTGGCACAGTGACTCAGAAGAATGGCTGTCTTCATCCTTCTTTGGGGGGGATCTTGGCAAACAAGGCTGATATGAACAGGCAGTAATTAAATTGCCTTGGATAGTGTCTAATATAATTGAGACCAAGAACTTGTGGACATGTGCCGCAAACAAAGCCCTGTCTCTCAGAGGATCCCCTGAGTCTGAGGTCCCCCCTTTTCTTACTATAAAGCCTAATATCTTCATTGAAATTAGAAAACACTTAAAAAAAAAAAACAACAAAACACCTAAGTGAGAGCAGACAAATTAGTTGCAAGAAAGAAAAAAAGGGGGCGCCTGGGTGGCTCAGTGGGTTAAGCCGCTGCCTTCGGCTCAGGTCATGATCTCGGGGTCCTGGGATTGAGCCCCGCATCGGGCTCTCTGCTCAGCGGGGAGCCTGCTTCCTCCTCTCTCTCTGCCTGCCTCTCTGCCTGCTTGTGATCTCTCTCTGTCAAATAAATAAATTAAAAAAAAAAGATCTTAAAAAAAAAAAGAAAGAAAAAAAGGATTCCCTTTCTGCCTAGCAAATTTTATGAACTTAATTTTATGGACTTAATTTCTCACTCCCTCTTTTAATTTGAAAGAAAATGGAATGGCAATATTTTATACAGAATTCCATGGGAAAAAACCAAACAGGGTTTTTACCTTAGCTTATTAAAAATGGAACTTTTCAAGTCCTGTTTTTATGCTTTTGAAAGACTGGCTGATGAGAAAGTCAATTCAGAAAATGCTAAACACTTAGAATGTAGGTATTTACAAAATTTTAAGCAGGCTTCACGGTCTGTATTTTTCAGATCAGTAGTGTTAATCGAGCATGTAAGGGAGTTCTTCGACCCTCTCTTTTGTGTTCTCACAGAACATTGACCTTCTTTTAGAGCTTTGATCACACTGGGCTAATCTCTAATCTCTGCCCCCCCCCCCCCCCCCCCCCCCCCCCCCCCCCCCCCCCC